AAAAAAAAAAAAAAAAAAAAGGGTGCTAGAACTTCCCCACTGAGATAGGCTTCTTGCAGAGTCTTTGTAGTATATAGGACCTTAGGTGGAATCCTGAGCCCATCCAAGACCTTCTGAGGTGCGACATGCCCACTTGAAAGGACATGCAGACCAACCAGGAATAGCTAGAGGAACAAAAGATACTTCTTGAAAGAAAGACCAGCTGGAAAAATCAAAACAAAACTGAGTCTGTTTGGCTACTACAAGAACAAACCAGGGTACCATCAAAGCAAGCAATCAAGTCCCTTCAAGACAACCCCCCTCCCAAGACTGAAGCTCAACGGGAATATACTAGCAGGCATGTAAACTTTCTCACAACATTGGTCTACATGTGAGAGGAAGTGGGGGGTCAAGTCAGTAATGAAGCTATGGGCTGGGTTCAATCATGTTCCATAGACTCCTGTAGACTTTGTGATGAGAAAGAGGAAAGGCTGGTTGGTCTGAAGTTTGGGGAGACCTGGGAACTGCTAAGCCAATGGACACTGACCTAGTCACAGAGGGCTAGAGCTGAGAGTGAAGCATCCAGCTGTTATATGAAGTGGGGAGAGATGCACAAGAATGCTCAAACTTGCAGTGCCCATATGACCTAGCTTTCTTGGCTTGATGACCAGAGCTCAACTAGAGGAAGGTAAATTTGGTAAAGCAAGTGTTAACGTGTTACAATTGGATGAATTTGACCTACACTTATAAATGTAGTACTCAAAAATACTAACTCAGAGGAGTCTTCATATCAAGATCAAGCCTGTTCTCTCAGTATCAGGGTTGATTTGTTGTTGTTAGGTATCATCGAGTTGGTACTGACTCATAGCAACCCTATGCACAACAGAACAAAACACTGTGCAGTCCTGCGCCAAGCTCACAATTGTTGCCATGCTTGAGTCCACTGATGCTGCCACTTTGGCCATCCATCTCGCTGGGGTCTTCCTCTTTTTTCTCTGACCCTCCACCTTACCAAACATGGTATCCTTCTCCAGCGACTGGTCCCTCCAGACAATATGTCTTAAGTATGAGAGACGAAGTTTGGCCATCCTTGCCTCCAAGGAGCACTCTTGGCTGCACTTCTTCCAACACCGATCTATTGGTTCTTTTGGTAGCCCATGGCACTTTCAATATTCTCCAACACTGTAACTCAAAAGCATCAATTCTTCTACGGGGTCTTCCTTGATAGGGATGGGCAAATTGGCTACCTAAAATGGGGGAGGGGGTGTTATAAAAGCATGAAGTGGTTGCCTTCCAAGTTCTCAAGAGGGAGTTTATTATCAGAGCGTACAAGGGAAGGTAGAATTCCCACAGAATAGTTTTCATCTTGTCTAGATGGGTCTGGTCAAAGAACATGGGGATAGGACTTTTGATCCAATAGTAATTGCTATCATGAATATCTGCAATTGTCACAACTATAAAGGAAGAAGTTTAGTAACAAAGGGGGGAGTAGTTAAACTTACATTCCAGGAACAGAGGACCCTAGGACCATGAAGAATGAAGAGCATGAGCTCTTGGGACCCTAATCAAGGAAGCAGCAACACCAGAGATCGAAACAGAGGCATGGAGAGGGAGAGCAGCTGAGGACTCTAGGCTCATGGAAAGAGAAAGGCTGTGTGTTGTCGGCCAGGAAACTGGCTTGCAGAATGTGCCCTTTGGTTGTTTAAATGATCATATATTCCTGTTTTTGTGTACATTAAAAAAAAAATTTTTTTTTTTAAACCACAAAGGGAACAGAAGCAAATACTGTTCAATGATGCTGTATGGAGAGGCCTGTAATCATTCAATAAAACAAAACACAACCGAATAGGGGAAAAACCTATGTTTTCCCATGTAAAAAATATCAATTCACAAAAAAAGCTTTAAATAACATCTATAAAAACTTCCAAAATTAACTGTATTCAAATAATTATACTAAGAATAAAAGCTCTTGACCACTGATCTTCGTAAATCTAAGAATTCATTCATTCCTAGTTAATGATACAGGAAAAATTTTCACTTTTAATAATCTCCTAAAACATTCACCTACAGTAGTCTTTGTTGTTAAGTGCCTTTGAGTCAGTTCTGACTCATAGCGACCCTGTATAGGGTTTCCAAGAGCAGCTGGTGAACCTGAACTGCTGACCTTGCAGTTCAAAGCAACTCTGCAGTCCAACACATTAACCCACAGTGCCACACCAGGACAAAGTACCTACCAGGAACTAAAGAGTAAAACTCTTTACATCCTCTATCCTTAACACTCTATACTACCATTTAGTAACATGGAAATTTAAATGTGGCTTTAGGATTGAACTGCTGAACCCATCCCCAGCTCAAAAATAGTATAATAATGTAATGCTCTTATACCATCTTCCAGATATGACAGAAGAATCTGAAATAACACCTTTCTGACTCAGTAAGTGATTTTCCTTAGTTGAAAGGTTAAGGCTGTCCCTTCTCAAACACTTGATAGATTCCTGAGTATTACACTCAAAATGCTCACTTTTCATAAGTATTCTTTAAAAACAATTGAGAAAATAATAAGTTCTTATCAAGCAATGTAATAAACATAAGGTATGCAAGCTTAAATTGCCAAATATGATAAAATGTTATGTTCAGAACAAATACTAAACTTTGTCAATGCCTGCTACATACTGCATAACACAGTATATGTTGTTAAGTGCCATCTAGTCAGTTCTGACACATAATGACTCTGGATAGGGTTTCCAAGGTGCAGCTGGTGAGTTTGAATTTCCCACCTTGCAATTCAAACCGACCTTGCAGTCCAGCACATTATCCCTGCAGTGCCACACCAAGACTTATCTGTAACATAGTTTATGTTGTTGTTAAGTGCTGCTGCGTCGGTTCTGACCCATAGCGACCCTATGTAGGGTTTCCGAGGAGCAACCGGTGAGCTTGAGCCAGTGACCTTGTGGTTCAAACCAATTTCACAGTCCAGTGTATTAACCAAAAGCACCAAAGCAGGAGCCCGACTTAGTAATATACACATATATAAACACTAAATTTTTTTTCAGAATGAGAAAACAATTTCTGCTAACATCAAATGGTTATGTGCCAGTTATTGTAGTAAGTATTTAAAGCAATTCTTACACTTCAGCTTCAAAAATGCCCTGTAAGGTTAATCTGTTATCATCCTCTTTTGACATCTGAAGACAGGCTAAAAGAAAGAGATCTTAGAGGTAAAATAATTGGCTCATGATCAGTTACCAAACTACAGAATCAGAACGTCAACAAAGCACTGCCTGTCCAGTCTACGCTTTTGGGCCTCTTCACACCATTTTGCCTCCTCAAATTAAACTGAGAATACACTAGAAAGCATAAGCACTTCACTGAGGGTGAATCAGTAGTACTGCCTATACAATAGATTCTTATTGTACACTGGTAAAGTAGAGGGTCAGCACAAAAGATGAAGACACTCAATAAGATGGACTGACACAGTGGTTGCAATAATGAGCACAAACACAGTAACCCTCATGAGAATGGCCTAAGACCACTAGCGTTTTGTTCTGTTTTGCACAGGGTCACTGTGAGTTAAAATTGAGTCAAAAGCACCTAACAACATCTTATATTATTATACATGTGCTGTTGTTGTTGAGTACATGTAGAAGGGACTCCCAGTTAGCTGACTAAAAGATGGCACATGCTTTACTGCAGAACAGAATACCTTCAAGTAAATTGTCTGATTTGGCCTGGGAAAACACATCAAATCATTTAATGAATCACTTGTATAATAACAGAGAAAAGGAACCTTAAAAGATGCTACTATATTTTAAAAAAAAAAAATAATAACCTCATTTTAAATTAGCCCATGAGTAAGTACCCATTCATGAATTATCAGTGATAAACACTACCAGACATTTTAATTAAATGTTTAATCAATAGAAACACTAAAGGTACATATAATTTTATATTGTTATTGAGGCACAAAAAGGTATTATAACTTGCCTAAACTTGAGGCATAAGTTTTATAAGCTGAACATTAATACAATTTAGGAAGTAAAAGTGCAAACAATATACATTCACAGCTTGACTAGTGAGGCTACATCATTTATAAGGTGCTACATTAGCGCTAGTTGCCAGTCAGCTTGAAATGTTTAATTTAACCTTGGGGCTAGGGGAGAAAAAGTAAGGACCTCCTTTGTCCTCTATGAATGAAAACATTTTCCTAAACCAATCAGTCATGAGGGAAATAACTACTTTTCCTTTAAATTCACAAATGAGAATGCCTTCGTCTTATTGCCAATTCTATACTGATTTTCAATCCTGATAAAGAAGATAGCCAGAAAATGTAGAATATTTCCAACTACTTCCATAAATTGCTCCCCTGTGCAAGCGTAACCATATCTGGTCTCCCTGTAAGAGTTGCAGAATTGCATGGTTGCTAGCAGTTTCATGGTCAGGAGCACCATCATTTGCATAGGCAGATACTAAGACCTCTTCATTCTTCATTAGGTTGACATACAGTGGCACATTCACTGCCAACTTTAGCATGTGAAAAATGAAAACATATGTGCCATTCACTGGGCAATTAAATCGACCAAGCTGAATATCAAAAGTTTCTCCCAAGTTGTTCAGAAGAAGATCAAACACAATAGGTTGGTCTAAAGTTCCAGGAGCCAGATTAGAGGTTCTGGCTGCTGAGAAGGCAACTCGCATCTGCTGAGGCAGGGGATAGACGTGTACTGGCAGTATGGTGGCTGCGGGATTTGTCACTGGTACATCCACAGGGGTCATGCTACGGGAGTCTCCTTGTCCAGAGTCACCACTGTTGAAGGTTTCGTTGTCTCCTTCTGGGCTGCTCACCTGAGAAGAATCACTCCACCCTGTTGTTTTATTAGCAACAGTGAGTTTCTCATAATGAAGCAGTTAGCTTTGAACACAATATTTAACATTAGTTGGCTAGTGAAACACAGATAAACATTTTACAGTAAATTCCAAAAGACAGTAATAAGGGCTAGATTACGCTTTTCTAGATTTTTCTAGTTTACACTACTATTCTAGAGCCAGAAGGGACCCTAAATGATCTAGCCTCATTTTTTTCTCCTAAAATCAAGGAATAAAAAACCCTCAAAAGGTTGGGATAAACTACCACAGGGGATTACCACAAGCTATGACTAGCAAAGTCTAAAGCCCAGATTTGAATACTTTTCCTTTTTGCTCTAATTCTCACTTAGTTCTTAATTCCTCTGTGATCGCTCTTGTATTCAAATGGTAGAAGGCCATCAAGAAAACAGACTACATGAAAGAACTAACTTTTAGAACTACAAGGCAATGATCAGATATTGTGTTATGGTACTGAGTGCCATGATGAATATTGTTTTTTATTTCAAGTTAATATGGCTTAATGAAATTTTAGTTTTTAAAGTGGCATAGACAAAAACACTGCTGAAAATTAAGTAAAGGCAGTGTGAATATTATTTACTTTCTCAAAAATAAAAGATTGTTTTCCTATAGCAAAATTACTTAATCCTCAGCAATTCTCGATTTTGTTTCACTGCATCTTTTAATAATTCCTTCACATTTTAAGTGTTACAAGTGCCTTGTTTCAAGTCTGTGTGTTTTGTTACTTAACGCACATCTATCAATGCAGTGACACCAGAATACCTAAATCCGTTGTCAGTTGCCACTGAGTCCACTCTGACTTACAGACCCTAGAACAGAGTAGAACTGCCCCACCAAGTTACAAGGCTGTAAATCTTTATAGAAACAGTTTGCATATCTTTTTCCCACAAAGCAGCTGATGAGTTGGAATCACCAACTTAGCCACTGTGCCACCAGGGTTCCAGAGTATCTACAAGTACCCACTATTACAAAACAATCATCCTAAAACATGACATGAAGCTATTAAAGTCATCATAATGAAAATACATATAAAAAAACCAGTTGCAATCAGGCTGATTCTGACTCATAGTGAACTCGTGCATTTCGTGGTATAACTGTGCCCATGGGTCTTTAGAGGCTCATTTCTCTGAAGTAAACTGCCAGAGTTTTCTACCAAGGTGTCTTCTAGGTAAACTCAAACTTCAAACCTGTAGCTTAACAGCTGAATACATTAGCTATTTACATCACTCAAGAACTCTGAGTATGTATCTATGAAAGTTAAATTATGTTTTGGTGTCAAGCAAAATTTTAAGTCACACATACACTTTTGACTAAATTGACAAACCTGTCTAGTAGTCTAAAATCTTGCTCAATATTTCAATACTATGTTTAAGCAAACAAAACCTTAACAAGACAAATGCTGAAAACACTGTGCTTTGAGAAGAACTTGAAAGAGGATGTAAAATGTCTAAAAGTATGTTTGGGTATATAAATAACTCAGTTAATTTCACTTACCTCTTGAATTTGCCTGAGGACCACCAGATATTGCACCTGGCTTGTAACACTGCTGGAAATTTTCCTAAAATGAACACAGAACTTTTACCTTGACACCAAAATAGTGCTTCCTATGATAATAACCGAGAGAAAGATGAGGCTTTCTGCTCCCGTACAGATTAACAGCCTCAGAAACCCTATAAACGGTCAATATGAGTCAGAACTGATTCAATTGCACACAACCACCAAACACCATGGTAATAACACACTAATACTGTATTGTAACTCATTACGGCTCAGAATTGTTACATGATAAACTGAAGTCCTCTTAGTCCTTGTCCTTCATCTGGTCTTCTCCAGCAATTAGAGACTCAGATACTTCCAAACGCCAAGAAAAACAAAGTAAGGGAACAGTACCAATACTTGTTTCATATATTAATTTACCTTATCAATTAGATATATAAATATTCCTAAAAACAAAGCATTTATGTGGAAAATTTAAAAAGTATGGTATGGTCCTATCCCTCATATCTCAATGTAAAGGAAATAATAAAGATAATTTTCATTCTTGTTCCATTTATAGATATAACTGTGAAGACTTATTTATACAATTATAAACTCTGCTGGGTTTTTTGAGGGGAAAGGGAGACAGATTGTATAAATGTATTTGTTGTTGCTGTGTGCCTGTGAGTTAGTTCTAACTCATAGAGAGCCTGTAAATCATTACTTAGAGTAGCTGGTAAGTTTGAACTGCTGACCTTGTGGTTACCAATTCAGGGTTCATAAAGGTATTTACCACCTAGAAATGTGGTTCTAATATATTAAGAAGAAATGTTCAATCGACCGTATTTCAAACAGACTCCCAAGTATGTAAAAATACAGAGTCTACACAACCCATGAAAAGAATAATTAGTGTTATAACTAAAAAATTAATACATGCAATAAAGAATTTTAAAGGGCTAAGACGATATCCAATAAAAATAAGTCTCCTACTACAGACACTTGGTTCCCTTTATTAGCAGCAATCATTATTATCAATTTCTTATATTTCCTCAGAAAGAAATTTAAAGCACTACACAATATTATTATTAAGAACGGCTGTGGTGGTAATCATGCCATGGAGTTGGTTCCGACTCATAGCAACCCTGCTGCATACGGTTTCCAAGGCTGTAAATCTTTACGAGAGCAGAAAGCCTCATCTCCCGCGGAACTGCTGGTAGTTTTGAACTGCTGACCTTGAGGTTAGCAGCCCGACTTGTAACCACTGTAGTTCCATATATTGCTGAATTGGCAAATGTTTTCATCACAATGAAATTTTTTTTAAAAAGAACAAATAGTTCCACTACTTAGTCTATCTTAATTAAAACTCTCCCCTCACACAGAGTCTCTGAATATGTGATTAACAGCTGGTATATCGATGCTTGATGTACAACTAGCACTGAGTGCTAAGTGTATTAGCTCATTTAATCCTCAGATGATCTCAGAGTAATTCTCACAAAACTGCTAATAGATGAAAACTAGAGTTCGGAAAATTTAAGTAACATGCTCAAAGTCACATAGTGGTGAAATCAAAGGTCAAATCTAAGTCATTCTATTCTGATACAATGGGAAATTCTTCAAGTACAAGGCGACTTCAAAAAGTTCATAGAAAATTTTAATTATCTTTTCATTTCATTTTTCATGAACTTTCTACTACCAGTAGAACTCAGAATGGTATACCATATACATACTTGAAGCCTTGTTAAAGTTAAAATAGGAAATGCTGGTGTAGTATAAATTTTTATATGTCCAATCACAGGAAGTTTCTAAAGTTTGTTAAAGTGAAATGTCTAACATCCACCTATTACACTTTTACCATACACGGTATAGAACTTTCCTATACTTGATATGTGGACAAGCTAAACTGAAGCTAATATAATAGTAAAGTTAAGAACTCAAGTTCTAATCTTAGAAGAACTTGAACTTAGACCTTGGTAAACATTCACTTGCTGAATTACCTAAAATAAGGTATCTAATATCTGAACCCAGTTTTTCTTAGAGGGTGAAAAAGAGAGTTAGTGTAAACATTATAACTTAACACTTTCTAAGTTCCTTTGTAACTGACAGCTATCATTTAACCTTCTTTAGTTACTGGAAAAGTTTCCAATTAGGCACTTAAAAAGTGGTTGGTTCTAATTCTAAGAATATACTTCTGCAAAACAAATTATGTAATGTTACAGTTTAATCATAAACACAAGTAGTATACTTTCGCAAAACAAATTATGTTACTTTAATCATCAGCTTAATAACAACTGTACCTTTATTCAATTATGACAACTATTCTTACCCTTTGGGAATAGGGAGTTCCAGAAAATTCTCTAGTTTGGAACTGCAGCTGGCTATAATTTCCATTGGCAATTGAAGGAGGTCCTCTGTAAGTATCAAAACCTAAGAAATAATTTAAATAAATTTGTAAGCAAAAGTATACTGAAACTGTTAAATAGTCTAATTTTATACCATCTAAAGTATAAAGGAGCTCTGGTAGCGTAGTGGTTACGAATCGGGCTGCGAACCTTAAGGTCAGCGGTTCGAAACTACCAGCCGCTCCGCGGGAGAAAGATGAGGCTTTCTACTCCTGTAAAGATTTACACCCTCAGAAACCCTGTACAGGGTCGCTATGGGTCGGAACCGACTCGATGGCACTTAACAACAACAACAACAACAACAAAGTCCTGATGTGGTGCAGTAGGATAAGCACTGGACTGCTAACTTCAAATCCATCCAGCCACTCATTGGAAACTTTATATAGGGTCACTATGAACCAACTCAACACCACATAACAAAATTCAATTGATCCTATAATGCCATCCTTAGATTTATTATTTTCTTTACACGAACTTTACTAATACTGCTTCTACAGTAACACATACATTTATATCACTGTTTGAACGGTCTTAATTCTAATTTTAGAAATTTGCTATCACTAGAATGTAGACTGTAATTTTAAAAGGGTGGTAGTGATAGGGCAATTAAAACTTAAAATATCACTACTATATTCTCCACTCTTATGTTCCTATCTGTGGTATAGTTTGATAGACAAGTATAAAATTATGCATTATCTCATTATGACATCTTTAGAGCAGAGTTATCAATTAACAGAAAGAATTAAAGAAATCATTTATATACATATGCCAAAATTCATTGAAAAATAAGATGGTCAACTATTTTACTTCAATAAGCCACAGGATTAATTTGCTCCCATACAAAAGGTTCTAAGCAAAAATAGGAAGTATACATGGCATTGTCATTATATAACCAACAATGTCAAAAGGGACAAGGTAAAGTAAAAATGGTTTGAGTCAGATACCTATCTAGTAAAATTATTTACAGTAACGAAATTTCATTCAGCACATACCTTTATAACCACCAGGAGAACGATAGGAGTTGATAAGCAGTCTCCCACCATGAGTACATCCTCTAACAGATCCCCGGTTATTGACAAAGGCCTGAGCAGGTCTGGGAAATACATTCGTTTGTGCTGGGTAAAAGGCAAGGTTACCATTGCTTACTTGAATAGTTCCATCAGGATGATAACTTGCTGTTTAAGGAAACAGTTTTAGAGTCCAAGAGTTAAATGGAAATAAAGATTTAATACTCATAATATTTAAAATTCACCATATATACAAGTGCTCAAAAAAAAATAAGTAAAAGGAGTAATATGCAAAAAATATCCTTTATCTTTTCACAGTACAGGTGAGAAGTAAATGAAGTAATTCATGACTTCAGGTCCAGGAATCGACATTTAGTAACTCTTCAACAATTGACTGAAGTCCTGGTGTGACACTGTAGGATAAGCATTGGACTGCGAACTACACGGTCGACAGTTCAAACACACCTGCTGCTCCTCAGAAACCCTAGACACTTAACAACATCAACATCATTTTATTAACCAAGTGCATGGAAATGCTCCATTCACTAACTCAGACTTCAGTTTTAGATAATTCAGTGTTGCTGTTATATGCCATCAAGTCAGTTCTGACTCAGTGACCCTATAAACAACATAAAGAAACACTGCTCAGTCCTGTGCCATCTGCACAATCATTGCTCTGCCTGAGCCCATTGCTGTAGCCACTGTGCCAATCCATCTCTTTGGAGGCTCTTACTCTTTTTCCCCGAGTTTCTACTTTATACCAAGCATGGTTTCTTCCTCGAGGGCACTGGTCCCTCCTGACAAGAGGTCCAAAGTATATGCAACTAATTCTGTCCATCTTTACTTCCAAGGAGCAATCTGGCTGTATTTTTTCCAAGACAGACATGTTCATTCTTCTCGTAGCCCATGATACATTTAATATTTTTCACCAACATCTAATTCAAAAGCATAGATTCTTTGGATCGATTCTAATTCACTGTCCAGCTTTCCCATGCATATATTGTTGCTGTTAGGTACCATCGAGTCAGTTCCAACTCATCTTCACTATATGCACAACAAAATAAAACAGGCTCAGTCCTATGCCATCCTCACAACTGTTACACTTAAATCCACTGCTGCCACCACCACGTCAATCCAGCTCATTGAAGGTCCTTCCTCTTTTTCACTGACGCCTCCACTTTACCAATCATAATGTCCTTCTCCAGGGTCTGATCATTCCTGATAATATGTCCAAAGTATGAAAGAGGAAGTCTCTCCATCCTAGCTTCAAAGGAGCATTCTAGTTGTACTTCTTTCAACACCAGTTTGTTTGTTCCTCTATCAGTCCATGGTACTTTGAATATTCTTTTCCAACACCATAATTCAAATGCATCAATTCTTCTACGGTCTTTCTTAATCATAGTCCAACTTTCACTTGCATATGAAGTGACTGAAAATACCATGGCTTGGATCAGGTAAACAGTCGTCAACTGATTATCCTTGTTCTTGAATAGTTTTAAAAGATCTTGTATGGATTTGCCTAGGATAACATGTCATTTGATTTCTTAACTGTTGTTTTCCATGATTATTGACTGATCAAGTAAAATTAAGTTTTTGACAACTTCAATTTTTTCTTCATTTTATAATGATGTTATTTATTGGTCCAGTTATAAGGATTTTTTTCTTTACAATGACGTGCAATTCATACTGAAGACTGTCTTTGATCTTCATTATAAATATTTCAAGTCTTCTTTACTACTAGCAAGCAAGGCTGTTATCATCTGCAAATTACAGGTTATTAATCCTCCAATCCTGATGCTACATTTTTCATATAACCTAGCTCAGATTATTTGCTCAGCATATAAAATAAATAAGTATGGTGAAAGGATACATACAGCCCTGATTTTAAACCACGTATCCCCCTGTTCCATTCAAACACTTGCCTCTCGGTCTATGTACAGATAGATTCCTTATAAGTACAATTAAGTGTTCTAAAATAAGCATTCTTCTCAATGTTACCCAAAACTTGTCATAATCCACACAGTTGAAAGCCTTTGCATAGTCAATAAAGCACAAGTAAACCTTTTCCTGGTATTCTCTTCTTTCAGCCAAGATTAATCTGACATCTTCAATGACAACCCTAGCTCCAAGTTTTCTTCTGAATTTGACTTGAGTTTCTAGCAGTTCACTATCAATATACTGTTGCAGCCATTTAAAAATTTTCAGCAAAATTTTAATTGTATGTGATATTATGTTGTTCAATCATTTTCACATTCCATTGGGTCACCTGTCTTTAGAATGGATCTCTTCCATTCAGTTGAACAGGTATCTGTAGTCCAAATTTCTTGGCCATAGATGACGATGAGCCTCCAGTTCTGCATCAATTTATTGAAAGATTTAAATTTGTATTCTGTCAATTCCTGGAGCCTTTAGTGCAGCTTGGATTTCTTCCTTCAGTACCATTGGTTCTTAACCATACTGTTACTTCTTGAAATGGTTGAACATCAACCATTCCTTTTTCATATGGTGACTCTCTGTATTCTCTTCATCTTCTTGGCAAAGAGGAGTTAACATTTCCAGTGTAGTATTTGTTTATTGAAACATCTCAATTGGTATTCCGTCCATTCATGTAGACTTGGTTTTTTGCCACTGTCTTCAGTACAGCTTAGACTTCTCCCTTCACTGCCATCAGTTCTTAATTATATGCTACCTTCTAATGGATGACTGTTGACCCGTTCTTTTTAGTACAGTGACATTATATATTCCATCTTCTTTTGATCTTTCTTGCTTCGTTTAGTATTCTGCCATAGAATCCTTCAATATTATAACTTAAAGCGTGATTCTTTTCTCAGTTCTTTCAACTTGAGAAATGCCAAGCATATTATTCATTCCTTTTGGTTTTTGAACTCCAGATCTTTACATAATTCATTAGAAAACTTTACTTTGTCTTCTCTAGCCATACTTTAGAATCTTCGGTTCAGCTCTTTTACTTCATTTCTTCATTTTAGCTACTCAACATTTAAGAACAAGTTAGTCTGTTCTGATATCCATTTCAGTCATTTCTTTCTTTCCTGTCTCCTTAATGACCTTTTGCTTTCTTCATGTATGATATGCTTGATGTCATCCTACAACTCAATAGGGCTCTGGAATACCAACACTAAAAATCTTCAAGAACTTTTTAAATAAAGTGTTCTTTTAAAAAAAACACTACCTCAATCATTGCCTATGATAAAGCAATTAGATTAAAAATACAAACCCACTTCAAGGTTAAATCAATCAAAGTCTATCTTTACAGAAGTTAAAATTAACTGCTGTGACGAGCCTATAAAATAAACATTAACATCATGAAGACCCACCAATCTCTAAAACAATCAACCAACTGTGTAAGATCAAAAGGACAACATTTTCTTAACAGCAAATATGAGAAGGCAAGGAGGGACAGGCAACCGGATGAATGGGAATGGGGAATACAAGGTGGAAATGGGAAAGGTACTAACACATTGCAGGGATTACAGCCAATGTCACAGAAAAATCTGTCTATGAATTATTAAGTGGAGACTAATTTGCTGTGTAAATTTTCACCGAAAGTACAATAAAATGTTCAAAAACTTAATAGGTAAACTTAACTGAATAAAGGAAAAGGCATTGTTTTTCAATAATTCAGAGATGAGATAATACATAGTAATGAAGAAAGAATCTCTTGAAGTGTCACTACAGACTTGCTCTCCATTCAATGAGCTGCCATCTTTGTCTTCAAAACATCACATGCAAAAATCTTACCAGTCTCTTGAGAAAGGACGTGATCTACATGTATGGCTGGCAGTTGACACTGGGGCGGTGTTTGTGTACTTGCTGTAGTAAAACTTTGATTGTAGCCAAGCGAATACGGGGATTCTTTTATTTCTTGTTCTTTTCTTGGAGGAAGGGGTGCACTGACATTAAATACCTTAAAAGACAAAAATACACTTTTTTGTGAAGTTTCATAGAAATGATTAAGGGTGATATCCAACTAAATTCTACAGCTTTCAGTAACTTCCATTTGAGTCATAAAATTCAGGCATTAGAGCAAACTAAATCTTCCTGCTCTTATACTATCATAACAATGCTTATGTAAAAATGAAGACCATACAGAGACAAGGGCTCATTTAAAAAAACTAAAGGGGAATAAAATAATCTACTGTTTACTGTCCAGGCCATATATAAAATAGCATCTATTATCCTTTACTTCCTTATCCTGCTTCACTTTCATCCAAACACTAGACATTATTTACACACCCACACACAGACACACACATGTGAAGAGGCTTCAAAACATTCATGTAAAAAATTCCATTATCTTACAATTTCATTTTTCTGTGAACTTTTTGAAGCCCCCTCATATTCATATATATCTATAAAGGAAATGCTTGTGGTGTAGTGGGTTATGCACTGGGCTGTTAACTGCAGGGCCACCAATTCAAATCTACCAGCCACTCCACAGGAGGAAGATAAGGCTTTTTGTTCCCACAGAGATTTATAGCCTTAGAAACCCTTTACAGCAGGGGTGAGGAATGTCCAACCCACACATTCCTTTAGTCTAGCCAACCACAGTTCCAGTCATCACATTAGGGGTGAGTATGATAATTTTGTAAGGAGCTCTGGTAGCGTAGTGGTTATGAATGGGGCTGCGAACCGCAAGGTCAGCAGTTCAAAACTACCAGCTGCTCCGCAGGAGAAAGATGAGGCTTTCTGCTCCCGTAAAGATTTACAGCCTCGGAAATCCTGTACAGGGTCGCTATGAGTCGGAACCGACTCCATGGCACATAACAACAACAATAATAATGACAATTTTGTATGGCTTGCACATCATGTTACAAAATTTGGCAGAAAAGAGGTTCTCTACCTCTGCTCTACAGGGTCACTATGAGTTAGAATTGAAAGAACAGCACTCAACAACAGTATCTATATATGGGCATATTTGTAACTCTTTCACCTCCATATTAAATCTAAGTTTACTGAGTGTAAAAATTTGTCCTTCTTTATAGCTGCATTACCAGTAATTAAGAACACTGCCTGTCTTCATAATTACCTGTTAAATAAATTAAAATCAACTTAAATAGGTTAAGATTTAAATAGGCAAAGAAGATAAACTGGTATGAACAAAATAGGTACTGTGAAAATGTACCTAATGTAGACTGGTGGGGACTAGTCTGTCAAGTTGTATCAGACTTCAAAAGGTATTAAGTGTCAGGCAAATGAGTTTAATTTCATTCTGTAGTACATTACTGATTACTTAGAAGTATGGAAAAGAGAAAGTGAAATAACATGGGAATATGTTATATGATGAACCAACAAGAAAAGAGAGAAGGCAAAGAAACTAAGATGTTCTAACTGTCCAAGCATGAAGTGGAGAAATTAGTAAATTCCATTGTCTGAATTCACTACTCTATCTCTCTGCTTTGTGCCTGTTTTCCACAGCTACTCTTCTGATCCCAACCATCATCATCCAAAGTACCTAGAGTGGGAAATAAGCACCACAGGAAAGGTAATTTTTGGTTCACTAAGGTTTTATTTTTTGTTTACGATCTTATGCTATTCTGTATTTAGAAAGTAAACATATAAATCTAGTAGTGATGTTATCTTAAAAATGTTTTTTAACCACAAATTATATAGCAGTAAGTAATTCAAAACACCAAACAAATCTAAATAATTCTCCAAGAACCTGCATGAGATCAGGATAAAGTTCAGTAAAAATTTCAACAATGATTTAAAAAGAACATTCTAGTGTATGTCCTATATGTCAGTTTGCTGATGCTACGGAAACATGGCTGGTGTAATATTAGTAATGGTTCATATATTAGACTATTCCTAGAAAATTAGGTTTCTCACCTATGTTGTTGTCATTAAGTGCCATTGAGCCGGTTCCGACTCACAGTGACCCAGTATAGGCTTTCCAAGGAGCAGCTGGTGAATCTGACTTCCGACCTTGTGGTCCAAGCCGACCCCTTGCAGTCCTGCGCTTATCGATAACTGTAGTGCCACACCCAAGTCTTTCTCACCTATGCATTTCAATTTTTTAATATGAGCCCCTCAGCTCTGCCTGCTACTAATTTTCAAAGGAACACCACTGTGATTAAATAACCATTTAAAATTTCTATAGGCTGTGGATTTAGCACTCTTCTGCCATAGTTCCATTTGACAAATGTAAATCCTACCTACCCAAATAGGTACATAATAAAAAATCCAATTTCTGACATAGTACTAGATAATAGATGAAAAGAAGTGATATTTATTTAACAGGACTAATCAACAATTACCCATTCACATTTCATACTCACTGTGTGCATGGCTTGAAAGGGTGTTGTAGTAATGGTTACTGAGCTACTATCTGCAGGTGACTGGAAGACTTGTTCAGAGGCCATTGACATGGGAGGATTTGGAGATGCTAATGAAGATAGCTGCTTGCTTGGGGGAACTGCTGCCTGGGGAGGTAAAATGCAACATCAGCCAATCACCTGTCATGGAAGAAGCAGTTAACTCTAACTAAATTCCAAACTGGCATAAATCAGCGAGTTCTATGGGACAACATCTGGACACAGGAATGAAAAAGAATAGCTTTTGCTTACAATTTCAAATCTCTTTTGCTGAGGACGCAGCACACTAGTATTTGCTGTGCACAGTTGCTGACTAAGTGAAAGGCTTACTCATCAGTCCAAAAGATGAGAAGCTAAAGCTTTTATGAACACACCTTATCCTTCTCCAACCCTGAAATTGTATTAACAAAATAATACAAGCTTGGGCTTAAGAAAAATCCTGGGTTAGCTGCTTGTTGTTGTTTAGTGTTATCAAGTCGATTCTGACCCATAGTAACCCTGTATCAAGAAGGTTTCCAAGGTGCAGCTGGTGAACTTGCACAGCCAACCATGTGGTTCAAAGCAACTTAGCAGTCCAGCACATTGATTCACAGTGCCACACCAGGTTTGGTTGCTTAGTGTTAATTTTTCCTCCATTTTCAAGTCTTATTAGTAAATTTTAAATCAGCTACCTAAAACAGAAAACAAACTTGATCCAAACTTTAAAAATCTTGATCTAAGGTAATAGATTATAAACAGGTTTATAAAGATGCCACAAATCAACTCCTATCAGATTATAAAATAGACAGCTATGAATCCCTTGGTAACAATCCTCTTCCTCAAATGAGAAACAATTTCAGTTTAGACTACATCAGCATCATAAATACCCATGTTTATATTTTCTTCTCACATTTGGTCAAAAACCCCTAAGAGTTGCTAAGTTTATCCCCCCAACGTATCTTTATATTTTACTTTTTATAAAAAATATACGAGGAGGTCTACTTGCACATGGGTTAAGGACTGGGCTACTAACTGCTAGGTGGAAGATTCAAACTGACCAATCACTTTGCAGGAGAAATATGAGGCTGTTTGCTCCTGTGAAGATTTACAACCTCAGGAACCCTATGGAGCAGCTTTATTCCGTCCTACAGGGTCACTGAGTCTAAATTAACTCAGTGGTAATGGGTTTGTTTTCAGGGGTTTATAATCAATACACATTCTTATATACAAGTTACCAATGAGGTGGTTGGGCAAGGAGTAGCTAAATTTATCCAAAAAGTTAGTATCTTACTAACTTCAACAAAGTGCTCAAACTTAGCAAAAACTGTCAATTAAAGATTATTAAAGACAAACTTAGGATTTTTAAGAACCACAATTCTGACAAAATACTTTTGACAAAATCAGTCAAAAAATTAATAAAATTCATTTCAACAATCAATGCTAGAATTGACACCATAAAGTGTCAATTGAAACAACCACTGTGACCAGCAACACAATAGAAGGACCTGGACAGAATGGGAGAAAATGTACAACAAATTCAAATTCCTAAAAAAGGCCATACTGAGAGAGACTAGAGGAACCCCTAAGATCATCTTCCCTTTGAACTTGGAAGTAAAACTATTTTCGGAGGTTACCTTTCAACCAAATTAACAGATTAGTTTATAAAGATTCATAGCTGTTAAGTTAACCCATGAGTAATATGCTCTCTTAAATAACCATGTATGAGACCTAATGATCAACATTTACCCAAAAACAAAGATGAGAAGGGAACTGAGATCAACAGAAAAAGAACTAACAGAATGGAAAATAATGGAAATGCTAATACACTATAAACATGGTAGCCAATGTCACAAAACAATCTGTATTAAAACTGTTAAAATGAGAATCTAATTTGCTGTTTAAACTTTCACCTAAAATATTTTTAAGAATTAAAAACAAAGTCTATTAATAAGACTACAGCTTATATGAATAAATATTTTTCTTGTAAATATTCCTTCCATGTAAATACATTGAGAAACTTCACAATCCGACCTAAACCTTTTCACTCTCTTTAAATATTAGCAATTTTGGCATTTATTACATCTGATATAGCCAACAACACATTCTTAAATCCACTTACATGTCAAAGTCACAAAAAGTTACTTACGTAAATTTCAGGATTATAATCTCTACAGAAAATACATTAATGAAGCATAAATGGTAAATCATTCAACTGATCATCCTTGTAATTCATACACTAAACTAGTTCTTCTATTCTTTAAGACAGAAAAGAAATGAAGACAAATGGTGTTTTATTACCTCAGGAGCCTCTGAGGTCATAAACTCTGTTTCAGTTCCAGAAGAGGCCTGATCGGCAGTAAGCAAACAAGCATTTGATCTACAAGTAACTGGAGAAGTAGTAGCCTAGACACAGAAAGATACAAAATACTGTAAAAGGCATTTTTTTGCTCCCTTGAGTTCTGCTTTCCTAATAGATCACTCATATTGAGCCATCACTGGTGCCAGACACTACACTAAACATTTATACATATTACTGTATTTAATCCTCACAATAATCCTATGAGGGAGGTATAGACAGAGATTATTGACAGGCAGGCAGTGACAAAGATTGTTGTGTTGTTGTCAAGTGCCATTGAGTCGGTTCCGACCCATAGCGAACCTGTATAGGATTTCCAAGGAACACCAACCTTGCAGTTCAAACCAACATTCAAGTCCATCGCCATTAACCCACAGCGCCACACCAGGAGTCCCAAATAACGATTAATTCACCAAAATTCATACTAAAATAGTGGCGCTGATCATCAAACCCAAGCACTCTACTACACTATGCTTCCAAAAGGCCTAGTCACCAAAGCTACACATACAAACGTATCTTCACTAATCAAGATCCTTGACCCTAGAAAGCCATGGCCAAATTTTAAATTCTAACACTTGACAGCAGTTCAATGGCAGATGAATCCAGGACACATTTAACCCTCTCAGAATAGCTTGCTAGAGGCCATCATCATAACTGTTTTTACTCAAGTGCTCCCAACATCTTAGAGTTATGTAAAAGTATAAATAGAAAAGATAAGCTCTATATAAATCAGATGGCACCAAAATTCTAACAAAAAGTTAAAACTGATAATACAAAAATAAAACATGGGAATAAGCACAGTTAGATATTGACTGTGACCAATAAAGATCCCAGAAAGTGATTAGGAAGGAATTCTAAGGTACTGAAAAGTATTAGGACATAACAGAGAGACATCTACAAAAATTTAGCAACTGAAGTCTCTGAAGCCACTCCTAATTATCTAAATGCTTCTATATGGTTTGTAGAAAATGGAGTAATAAAATGGAAGAAATGGGGAAATTAATAAACAGTAATCAAACACTGAGTAGCAATGTCTCATTGACTTTCTCAAAGAGTTAGAAGAGTAAGAAATGTAAGTTTTTAAAAAATCTTAAAAGTGAAAAAGCCAACTCCCTATCCACTAAGGCCAAAAAACAGTGAAATCTTTTAGGATATCATATATACTGGAGTGGAGTCCTGGTATGGCGCTGTGAGTTAATGTGCCAGACTGCAAAGCCATTTGAACTGCAAGGTCGGTGGTTCAAGCTCACCAGCTGCTCCTTGGAAACCCTATACAAGGTTGCTATGGGTCAGAACCGACTTGACAGCACTACACAACAACAACGTATACTGGAGTATCTTATATACTTAAATAAATACACATATAGTTTAGATCTGACCAAAATATAAATGCTTTTACAAGACTGAAATTATTTCCTAAACTTTACTTGTTGTTGTTGTTGTTAAGTGCCATCAAGTCGGTTCCGACCCATAGCGACCCTGTATAGGATTTCCGAGGAGCAGCTGGTGAGCTTGAACTGCTGACCCTGCAGTTCAAATGGCTTTGCAATCTGGCCCACAGCACCACAGCAGGACTCCAAACTTTACTTGTAGATACCAATTAAAATAATGTGACAACTGCTTAACACAAGTAGGCCTTGCTGTTGTGGTCACATTCAGTATCTATTACTAAAAGAAGATTCATTGATGTTAAGTTAAAGCAACTCAGTCCACATGGCAGTTAAGCTTTAAAACACTTTTGAATTTTAGTTAAAAGTCTCACTTAACAAACAAACAAAAAAAATAAGGACAGCATGTTTATATTAATATTTATTTAGAAGTAGTTCTGGCTTCCAAGTTATTGCTCCTAACTAGATCAGTTGTAGGTAATTCAAGCACTGGTGAGTTTATAAACATGGTATTTAAGAACAATGATCCCAAAGACAACTGTGCAGATTCACAAAGGGAGCTTATTAAAGCATACATGCCTAGAGACCACATATGAAAACTCTTACCCATAAAGTCAAAGGTGAGATGTAGGAACATACATACTTTCAAGATGATTCTGATGCAGCCATCCCATAGAGCTGCACTAAAATACTAAATTAGCCTATTAATTTTCCAAGAAAAATTTAACTTCTCAATTGACAATCTTATGTAGAACTCTAATTGTTAGAGCAAACAGTTTTCATTTTAGCAGTGAGTGGGGCTGGGGAAAGTAAGACAAAACTCCACTTGCATACCTTGCTTGACAAGCACACTTTGAAAACTGAGCCACACTTTATATATAAACCAATGCAAGCAAAAGTACTCATTCAAAAGTTTAGGGAAGGGAAAACTACAATTGTTGAAATCTCTAATCAACAGTCACAAGCTACTTATAGGCTAGATAATACTACAAGGTAGGTACAGACAGAGGTTATTGACAGACAGGCAGACACAAATATTGTTGTTTGTCAAAAAGTTTTCACAGGGACATTCAGAAAATTTTTTAAAAGGTAATTACTAAAAAACTAGTGACTCTGGGGCTGATGAAAATGCAAAGCGCTATTTAGAGATCTCAATGATCTGGGCCCATTTTATCTCTAAGTGTGTTCTGTGGAAATTAGTTCCTTGGAATAGGTATATGTGTTGCGGGGTGGGGAATTGTTTAACCTCAGGTTAAAAAAATTAATTTCTTTGCTTAGATTTTTCACTATGCTGATATACAAAATTATTTAGGTGACTCAAATAGCAAAGTAACACAGGCATAAATGGGTTCGGTTCCAGACCTTTGCAATAAAACTGATTCACATGAATTCTCTGGAAATTTTTTGGAAATTTGAAAATTGAGCAATTATTTGTTGAATGTACAACTGATGATTTGCTCTGTAAACCTTAACTCAATTCACAATAACAAGTTAAAAAAAAAAAAGATTTATAGTTTTAGAAATCCTATAAAGGGTCGCTAAGAGTCAAAACTGCCATAGAATTGGCAGTGGGTTTGGATTTTTTGTTTTGTTTTGTAATCCACTAAAAGTCCTAGTGTGGTGCTGTAGGATAAGCACTGGACCACAAGGTTGTTGGTTCAAACCTACCAGTCACTCCTCAGAAACCCTAAACAGGGTTGCTATGAGTCAGAACCAACTCAACAGCACGTAACAACAAATGTGCGACAGCATTATGAAAAAGTTTGAAATATTGTGAGAATTACCAAAATGTGACACACACACACACAAAGTATGCACATGTTGTTTGATAAATGGCAACAATAGGTTTGCTCACCACAGGACTGTCACAAAGCTTCAATTTGTAAAAGTGTACTATCTGCAAGGCGCAATTAAATGGAATGCATAAAATGAGGTATGCCTGTTATTCTTCAGACAAGGAAGCTACGAATTGCTCAGACTTGCTCTTTACTTATTGAAGTCAGCTAATCTTTATTTTATGTCTCTTCAGAAAATCTTTTTTGGATTAATTGTACTGAATATAGAAAACGAACTATCATTAGAACATTTTTAATAATTTAGTTAGGTATACTAGAATCAGTACATCTAATCATTTCTGCCATACAAGATGTTCTATGAACACACAAGAGAAAGTGAAAAATTTGGAGATGTTACCTGTAATGACTCTTGAAGAAAATCATTTTCAGTGGGTAGATTTTGTTCTGCAGATGCTGCAGAGAATGAAACAAACAGTAAACTACCAAAAGTGGAGAAAAATTTATGTATATTAATTGGTTGGAAACTAAAACTTAACATTTCATTAAAAAAAAAAAGCAAAAGTTGGCAGACTGTCAAATTTATCATGCATTTTCTATAGATGCTTATAAAAGTGTCAAGAGAGGCTTGTAGAAGAATGAGAAATTAAGTGATTCTAAAGGTGATTCACAGGGAGGTTTTAAGGTTAAGTGTGCAAAAGCAGCACTTCAACCTATGATTTTTAAAAATAACTGGTAACAGTAATCTTGAAGATAAAACCAGAAAACCGGAGCTATCATGAAAAATGATTAAATGACACATGAGCTTAAAAGCCTTTAAAGAGTAAGGCTTAGCTGAGTCATGTTTCTTTGTTATTGTTTTCTTTAATTATGTGTATTAATATGCTTTTCAATGACATCATTTCCAAGTTTGGTTTCCTCTTACCAATGCCCAACACTCGTGTGAAAATTAAAACCGCTTGTCGTGAAGTCAATTTCAACTCATAGCAACCCTACAGGGCAGAACAGAACTGGAGCTTCCAAGGCTGTAAGTCTTTACAGAAGCAGAATTTTTTTTTTTTTTAATGTTTTAGTGTGCTAGTTTACATGGGAGAACATTAGCTTTACATTCATCCTATCGTATATTGCTACACTGCCATGGTTACAATCCCCTCCATGCATCATCAACCAACCAAAGGGTACATCCCCCAAGCCTGCCCCCTGGTCATCAGCACACTGCTCCTCCTTCTCTGGGTCTAGAGTTCCCAGCCACTCCATCTCTCCACATCATCATCTCCACCCCCATCTCTGTCGTCAGTTTCTCTGGGTAGGATCCCACACTCCACTCTTTACAGAAGCAGATTGCCATATTCTTCTCTTGTGGAGCACCTGGTAGGTTCTAATCACTGTCTTTTTGGTTGGCAGTCAAGCAACTTAACTACTGCACCACCAGAGCTCCTTTCACTTTGTTAATTACCCTCTATTTGCCTTTTCCCCCACAAATTACTGCATTGGTCTTCAGGCTAGTATATACTACTACTCACTAAAACTGAAATAGCTTTGATTATATCACTCTCCTCCCAAGAGAAATTAGCATAAATTATAAAGCCCAAGCTTAGAAGCATCAGATTTAAATCAAGGCTTCATCATTAGTTACTGTGTTAGTCACTGTATCACTGCATTATTTCACTTGCAGTTTTAGAATCCAAAGGCGTCAACACAGGAATTAAAAGTCCAAAGGAATCAAGCAAGGTTTAGTCAGAATTCCCTCCAAGAACTAAGTAAATTATAAAATTTGCTAATGGGTATTTCCATTCACACATGTGAAGATGGTTTACAAAACTCAACCAAAATAGGTCAGTATATCCTACAGATAACTTACATAAAACTCTGATAAGAGATGGATACGTTTAGATTAAATTAAGAGACATAGTTAGACCCTTAAAATATCTGGAATAAAATAGCGTGCGAAACAACTGTTAGACTTAAAACTATTTGTGCCAAGTCTTTAGAGTAATTACATACCTACTGGGCTACTTGTGGTAACTGAAGGTGACTGTGATAAAGGAATTGCACTTGAAGGTTTGTCAAAATCCAAAACAGATTCCTAAAGGCAAGATTTTAAACAATGAGTAGGAATGAAGAGTATGCATTCAAACGCTATTATTGAGTTGCTCATGTTGCTGCCCACAGCTTATCAGCTATTGCTGTTGTTTTTAAATGTCATCAAGTCGGTTCTGACTCATAGTGATCCTGTATAGTTTCCGAGGAGTGACTGGTGAGCTTAAACCACCGACCTTGTGGTTCAAACTGACCTGGCAGTTTATTGCATTAATCTGCAGCACCACACCCAAATTCCATTAGCTATACACATCTAATAACTACTGCAAGATGTTAAAAACTGAAGTTAAAAACTTAAGTTTTTATAGGAAAAGGTGTAAGAGTTAAATATTAAATCTAAAGTAAATGCCAACTCTTAATGTGGGACAAGCGTTACAACGATAGTAGTAATTCAACAATCTAATTTAGAAAAGTAGCTCCTGACCTGACGCATTAATCCTAGTCTAGGCTGAACTCTCCTTTATTATACTCAACTAGTGAGAGTGTCTATTTTACCTCAACCACTTACTCATGCTGTTAGACACTCTCATGAGAAAACATTGTATTAATTCATTTCCTTATCTCGGAGCTCTCCCAGAAAAGAATATAACATTTTAATTAAACCAAACTAAAATTTTAGTTCTTTTATTGATCCTCAAATACCCTGATGACTGACGTAGGCAACTGTTTCATTATAAAGATAAGCAGAAGCCAGCGATTAAGTAACTATTCATAAGTGATATAGCTAGTAAGTGACAGAACAGGGCCTTAAATATTCACCTAACCCCAAAGCTCAGATCTTATTACATGGCAATATAGCATATTTGACTATTTCAGGACTCAGTAATACTATTTCAAATTTCTGAAATAACCACCCTACAACTTAGCACTTAACCATTGATTTAGTATAAGTTTACAATCTTCTGGAATATAAATTCTTTGAAAGCAATGAGTATCTCATTTCCTATACACAAATGGTAGCTAAGAGAATATATGTTATAAAAGTAGGTTCCTTTAAGTGTGTGTGTGGATTATTCATAACAAATTTATAAAGTAGGAACTATTATTCTCATTTAAAGATGAAAAAAAAAAAATGTAGGCAGAGTTAAGTAATTTACATAAGGTATTAGAGCTAGAAGTGGCAGTCAAGATTCATACTCAGAATCCATGCTAACTTCAGAATGCTTCCGATTAGAAATTATGGCCCATATATCATTTAAGATTCTTTAAGTGACTCATACTTGCATAAAGTTACAAGTTCCTTGAATCTGGGTCATCAGATCCTGCAGTTTTTCTTTCCTCAGTATTGGATCCTTTGGAAGAGTAGAGGAAGAACCTACAGGCTGATGCATAAGCTTAGGCACCTAGAAAATTAACCCATAATGTGTAAGAGTGAAATTCAAATGTAATGGTCTAAATCAGGAAACCAAAGCTTATAACTAAACCAAATCCACTGCTGTCCAGTCAATTCCAACTCATAACTAGCTTATTACTACATCCAAACACATAGCAATACTTTTATCAGATTCCTGTCCAGAATTTCTACATAAATGTGTTTTATAAATAATTTATACAACTATAAACAGCTCTTCCCCCTTTCAAACCACTTTAATGGAAATCTTTCTAAAATATAAAACATTTTCTGTTTAAAGGGTAGCTAGCACTCATAACAAGGAAATTGTTATTCTTTTACATATAAACTACCGTATTTCTTCTATAAGATACCACTGACTATGAAGCCCACTATAGATACTTTGCCCATAAAAACATTACAGCTACATTAAATATATACCCATTTTTAAGATGCATCTAATTTCAGAACCATTAAGATGTTTAAAACATATGTATGTATATATATGTGTATATGTATATATATATACTTGTATGTATATACAAACACACACATATATAATACATATAGGAGTCCTGGTGTGACACTGTAGGATAATCATTGGATTGCTAACCACAAGGTTGGTGGTTCAAACCCATTAGCCACTCCTTAGAAACCCTGTAGAGTCGCTATGAGTCAGAACTGGCTCAATAGCACTTAACAAATTATATATCTATATCTATATGTATATACCCTAGAAATTAAAAACTACATTATATTACATTTTGCATAAAATAAGCATACACTGAAAGCTACTGATGTTGTAGCACTGCAGGATAAATACTGGAGTGCTAACCACAAGGAATGCTGTTCAAACCCATCAGCAGCTCCTTGGAAATCCTATACAAGGTCACTATGATTTGGAACCAATTCGATGGCACTGAACAACAATAAAATTGGTTTTTAGATATAAGTTTCTCAAAATATTCATGATATTACATTTCCTGTAACACAGTGTCTGATTAATGAAGACTAACTTCTGCAGGATCAGAAAGAAGCTAAATTAATTAATAGCACTTAAAGAAAAGGAGGAGAGCAAAACAAGATAACTCAAATTCTCTTCCCATAATGTAGAACTGAGTTAAGAGTAATTTATTCACTTACAGAACACAAACTTTGATTTGCCTTAGCAAAACATTTTCCACAGTTAGTGGGCCAACATCTTTTCAGAGAGCTTTTGACCAAAATGGCATGGAAGTATAAGGAATACCACCATAAGACATAAACAACATCAAACAAAGTACCAATAATGCTAATTATGGCTGGTGGTGGTTATGTGTCACTGAGTCAGTTCCAACTCATAGCAACCCTGTACAGGGTTTCTGAGGCTGTAAATCTTTACGGGAGAAGAAAGACTCATCTTTCTCCCGTGGAACAACTGGTAGTTTCGAACTGCTAACCCTGCAGTTCACAGCTCAATTCATAACCACTATGCTACCAGAGCTCCTTGTAATTTATAATAGAAGACAACACTAATGCAGCACTGCATTTAAGGATTATCCACTACAGGCCGTCTTATCTTTCTGAAATCAGTTCTTTAACATTAACAGGTAGTGGTGGTGGTGGTGGTACGCCATGGAGTCTATTCTGACTCACTGCGACCCTGCTTAGGGTTTCTGAGGCTGTAAATCTTTACGGACTCAAGAAAGCCTCAATGGCTGGTAGTTGCAAACTGTTTTTCTTGAGGTTAGCAGCCTAACTTGTAACCACTATGCTACCAGAGCTCCTTAACATTAACAGGATGTGGCCTTAAATTTAAACTAAATCTTGTATCGCAAAATCTAGCTACAGAACATTTAATGTCTACAGTTTCCTATCTCCAGACAATTCTTACTTTGAAATGGAAATAATTTAGATCCTTCCCCCAACTATTGGAGTATCTGCAATCACTGTGTACCTTCTTCCTACAAGTATAGGGTAATCTGAGAGAGTCTAACAAATGAGTGAAAGGAATCAAGAGAATACAAAATATGTAACCTTTTATCAGAAAAAGTCACCCAGGAAGATCATGAGAAGATAATGAGTGCAGTATCAACAAGTCTCCCACGCTGTGATGTACATTTACATCACCTACTCTTTCATATCTTATCTGAAACATCTACCATTTCAGTATCATAAAATTAAAATTTTGGCACTGAAACTTAACATATTTTAATTGTGAAAACGTGATCTTAGCTTAGGTCCAAGAGTTGGTTATCTTACAATTTTTCTAAAGAAAATAATAAATCTACCCAGTAAAGAGTTAAGTGACTTATATACTTATTTAGCTTGATACATTAATTTAACATGGGTTTTCTTGATTTTTTTTTTAAAACAGAACTAAAGTTACCATTACTAAAACTCTATTGATGCTTACATTGACAGAGACAGATTATTATAGCTCAACTCACATCTTTGGGTTCTGTATTAAACTTCCTGGGCAGGAGCTGGTCATTTGGAATGAGGCTTGCTGTAGTTACTGACCAGGACTTTGGGGATAGCTGTGACTGCAGTATTAAAGGATGTGTTTGACTTTCAACATCATTTCCCCAAGATTTTATAGTCTCTGGCTGTCTTGAGTCCTGTTCATCACACATGGGAGTCGTCCATGATTTGGTGATGGCCTGTTCACTCTGCAAAGAAGGTACCCAAGGTTTTGGAGTTTGCTTCATTGGCTCGTTTTCTTTCTGCAGCTGAACTGGCCAAGGCTTTGGTATTTCCTGCTTCTTCTGCTCCTCTTGAATATACCCTGCTTTCGACTTAGAAATTTCTTGCTTACACTGGCCAGGAGTTGGCTTGAGTTTGGAGGTCTCCTGCTGCTTCTGCTCTTCCTGCAGAGCAGACCTAAATTTTGAAACCTCTTGTTTCTTTTGCTCTAAAGAAGTATTTTTTGATAACTTCTGGTGCTTAACAGGAGACTCCCAGGACTTGCAGGATTCCTGCTGCTTCTCCTGATTGTCTGGTTCTTTGAGCATATTCCAGCATTTAGGTTGATTTGGTTCACTAACATAGTTTTCTTCCCAGGATTGCTCTTCTTCATCTTGTTGGTTTGAATAATCTACTTCTGTCAAGTAGCGTCTGTTAAGAAACTAGACCAGAGCAATAATGTGCTTGAGCCACAAAATTTGCAGAAGACTTTGAGGGAAATATTTAACTCTAAGTATTATTAAGTTCATTTGTTGGAGAGACTGTACTAATATCAAACTTCTCTTATTTTAAGAGCCTGCCCTACTTCCTTACCCGTTCTATTCCCCTCAATTAACAAAAATTGAAAATTTGATTCCTCAAAAGAAGAAGCTGTATGTTTGACTCACCTATGACTGACAAGGACTGCACCTTATGGTGCCACATTTGACCACTTGTACCAAGGTTATTCAGTCCTTGAGCAGTTATGAACAATCTACCGCTCAATCTACCCGTTTGACTCCCTTGAAAGTTAAGGCAAAATTATACTATTCAGTAGTTCAGAATTATACTATTTAACCTTAAGCTTTGTTTTCTGAATTACCAGCCTTTTCTTTATTTCCCCTAGGTATCAATAACACTGTGTCTTCTTCTGCCTTCCCCATTCTTTTCTGCTTTTATGAATTTCAACAGAATTTCAGTATGAGAACCTTCTTGTGCTACTAGCATGAATAAATTCTGGACAGCAAAGTCCCATTCATCTTCAAATTCTAACAATAATAACAACAGTTACTGGGTGCCATGCTAAATTCTATATAATTTCAGATTTAAAGTAACTGTTTTAATTCTCAGGAGAACCCCAGAAGCGAGACATTATTAATTATTTCCATTTTATGAGTGGGAATAACAAACAGAAAACTGAGCTAGATATACTGTCCAAAGTCACTAACCTAGTAAGCTACCAAGCCTGGATTCAATCAAAAGCAGTCTGGTCCAGAACCTTGGCTTTTACCTATGATACTATAATAAGTCTCAAAATCCAACATCAACTACTTTTCAGCATCTTACCTCTTGTGGCTGTATCTCTGACTGTGTGAGTCCCACAAGAGACTCTGGAAAGATAAATAAGATATTAAATAAACACTAAGTAAACTACATACTAGTTTTAGATTGATTACAACTGTATAATTCATTCCAGTAATACACGTATGTTTCAGAAGACTCAAAGGGGTAGCAGAAAAAAGGATGGCACAAGTATATGCATGACATACGTAATTCTGACTACTGCTTGTTAGTTAAAAGCATAAGGTCTGACCAGTCTGGAACAGCTATAGGAACAGAAGATATTTCTTGAAAAAAAGACCAGCAGGAAAAATCCAAAACAAAAATAGCAGTCTGATTGCCTACTACAAGAACAAGCAAGTTGTTTACCAGGGAGCCATTAAGACAAGCAATTAAGTCCCTTCAGGACAAATCCCCCTCTAAGACTGACATTCAAAGGGAACACATGAGCAGGCATGTAAGATTGCTGGTGACCATGCTGGTCCACTCGTGAGTGGAAGTGGGGAAATGGAGCAATGAAGATATGGGCTAAGTTCAACCACATTCCATAGATTCCCATTAACCTGAAGATGAGAGAGAGAAGAGGAAGAGATGGTTGGTCTTAAGTGCAGTGAGACCTGAGATTCCTGAGCCCATTGACAAGGACACAGACACGGAGGGCTAGAGCTGAGAGTAAGCATCCAGCTGATATGAAGTGAAGGAAGATGCACAAGAACACCCAAACTTGCAATAAGTACCCATATGATCTAGTACCAAAGCGACCTAGCCTGATGGCTTGATAATCAGACCTCCACTAGAGAAGATAAAAAAAATTTTTTTTGGTAAAGGAAACAAGTGTAAATTGCTACAATTTGATGAACTGGTCTATACTTATGGATGTAGTAGTTCAAAATACTGAGAGGGAAGGATTAATCCTATCCCCTTTGTACACAGGGTTGATACGGATAGACAACAAGACATTGGCTACCTAAAATGAGGGGCTAGAAAAGCACAAAGTGACTTGTTTACAAGTTTTCAAGAAAGCGTTTAATTTCAGAGTGTGTCCAGGAAGGTAGAATCCCCACTGAATAGTTTTCATTTTGTCTAGACGGGTCTGGTGAAAGGATATGGGGATAAGATTCTTATGATTCAATAGTAATTGTTATCACGACAAATTGCAACTGTCACAGCTATAAAGGTATAAGTTTTTAACAACACGGGGAGTAATCTTACAATCCAGGAACAGAGGACCCTAGGACCATCAAGGGAGAAGAGTATAAGCGGAATAATTCTGGAACTCTATCCAGAGAAGCAGTGACACCGGAGGAGGAGGCAGAGATGAAGCCATGGAGAGAAAGAGCAGCTGAAGACTCTAGACTCAAGGAAAAAAGAAAGGCTGTGTGCTGGCAGCCAGGAGGCTTGCAGAACGTGCTCTTTAGTTGTTTAAATGATATTTTCCTGAGTATTTTTGTGTACATCCAAAAAAAAAAAAAAACCAGAGGGAATAGATGCAAATACTGTTGAAATGATGATGCACAGAGGATATCGTAATCATTGCAATGAAATGATGAGTGTAAAACCAATGTTCTCCCATGTAAAGTATCACTCAATTCACACACACACACACACACACACACACACACACACAAAAAGCATGTGGTCTAAAACTAGTAGCTCTCTTACATAAAATCACTTTGCTAAAGTCAAGTATTAGGTTTTTTTTTTTATTATTATTTCTGATGGAGAGTAAGACTATCTCCTCTTACCCACAAACACAGTTTCTCACAAATTAGAAGTACAGCTCATATCCCAAGGGGTAAAAATGAGTCATCTCAAAATTGAGCACATAAAAAGGCCTCTGAAGAGCCATTTGAAGGATGAGGAATGTGGGGATAGCAGTACTTAAAACACTGGGCTCAAGAACTAAGAGGAAGTGAACATGGAAAATGACATGAATATTCCTAGAGGTGATCTCTGAACCCTGCATGAACTCCCTTCTTTAAAAGAGCTATTTCTTAAATAAATCCAGCCTAAGACACAAATGCAACAGTACCATTTGCTAAAAATATTTCTTCCCCAAGACAATGGTAATTTGATAACTTTATTTCTTTTACTGATTTTGAATTTTTTTTCCCTAAATCATTATTTTAACCTTGGGTTATTTACATTCATGTTCTACTACAATGGTAAATTCTTTAACAGAGACGTTCATCCAAATTCCATAAACACCCCCTTTTAATCAGTGTATGCTCTTCGAACAAAATATAACCTAATGTTTCTATTATGGTTCTATATGGACTCACGATAATAATGCCTAAAGATGTTTTCTAAACCTACTCTTGTCGAGCAGCTTGTGAAGGTTTCCATTCACATACAATCTAACAAATTATAATAAGGAAATAATTTCACAGTAACTTGGCTCATTTTTGGTAAATCCAACCACTGTAGAGAATTTCAGAAATATTAACAAACCTGGCTCTCTGATTGGTTCCATTTTCAATAATTGTTTCATCTTCTCTGATTTTATCAACATTTCTTCTTCCACTGATATTTCTTTTTCCTTACCATTTTGGGGAACTGGAATACTTTCAAAATATCCTGAGTTCATCAATTTAGACAACAAAGCTTTCACATGTTTGTCTAAGAAAGAATGATTAAGTCTCAGTTATCACATAAGCTAATAATTAAAAATACAAGTAATAGAAGTCCTATTTTAACCCTAGTTATAGCCTGTCATTACAATATATGTAGTTCCTGGATTACAACCAAATTTCATTCCTATATCTGTCTGTAAATTGAATTTATACATAAATCAGAACAATTGAATTTATACATAAATCAGAATGGACAGTGTCTAACAGCAGTTCTAACATCAAATGTTGGTCTTAGTATATCATTTACAGTGTGCCTTTCTATACATAAAAAGCATAAAAAACATACTTTCAGAGACACTAAAAATCTTTAACATAATAATAAAGTATTAATAATAATGTTTTGATGTGTATTGCAAAGTAGCCCCAGTTTGCTATTACGAATCATTTTTGTTGTTGTGAAGTGCCCTCAAGTTGATTTTGACCCATAACAACCCTGTACAGGGTTTCCAAGGAGTAACTGGAGAGCTTGAACCATCAACCTTGCAGTTCATACTTGACTTTGCAGTCCAGCACATTAACCCACAAGTGTCACACCATGACTCTTGTACCTCAAACTTTTAATATACTAGGTTTTATAGAGGTTAGTTCATAACTATGGGTGTTTGTAACTCAGTGGCTGTTTGCAGTCTACATTAGGGAGATTCACAGATCGTGTCAGTACCATGGAAAGTAGCTGAGTAAAAACCCATTATTATTTTCATGGAGTCCTGGTGTGATGTTGTTGTTGTTGTTATGTGCCATCGAGTCGGTTCCGACCCATAGCGACCCTGTATAGGGTTTCCGAGGGTGTAAATCTTTACGGGAGTAGAAAGCCTCATCTTTCTCCCGCGGAGCAGCTGGTAGTTTCGAACCGCTGACCTTAAGGTTCGCAGCCCGATTCGTAACCACTACGCTACCAGAGTGGTGTGATACTGTGGGATAAAGCACTGGACCACCAAGGTTGGTTTGAACCACAAGGTCAGTGGTTCAAACTCACCATCCGCTTCTTGGAAACCCTATACGGGGTTACTGTAAGTCAGAACCAACCCGAAGGCACTTAACAACAAAAACAATTATTTTCTTTCATAAATCAGTATTGAGGTATAATTTACAAATAATAAAATTTACCCATTTTAAGTATACAGTTTTAGCAACTCTATAAACATGTTAACTCCACCAGAACCATGAAATAAAGTATTTGTAACACCCCAAAAGTTCCCTCATTCCCCTTTTACAATCAATCTTCCTTGCACCTTTTAGCAAACATCGACTTGCTATCATTCTAGAATTTTACATATAATTTACTCTTTTTTTAATCAGGCTTCTTTCACTCAGTATAATTACTTTGAGAGTCATTCATGTTGCTACGTGTATCAATAGTTCATTTTTTTTTTTTATTGCAGAGTAGTATTTATTGTAAGAATTGATTGGTTGTATGCTTAATTTTTTAAGAAACTGCCAAACTATTTTCCAAAGTGCATTGTTTTGCATTCTAACCTACAAATTTATTTTCAATTATAACTTAAACTTGGATGAACTGAGGACTATTCAGGTAGTCATACATATTTAGATTTTTTTAAAAGGACACAAATGCTATTAGCAAAAATACTTACTAGAATCTAATGAGTTTTCATATTCTAAGCTAGTATACAAAACTATGTGCTTCATGTTGGACATTTGTACTTGGTCATTTCCCCAAAAAGCTATTGAAGAGGCTCTCTTTTTCCAGATCATTAGATACAGTGCTTCAATAATAGACTCTGTAGTCAAACCATTGATATTTCCTTTGGCTGATTAGATAGAGAAGCCTACATATTAACACTGTGTGGATATAAGATTCTTAAATAAAGTGGGGAGCCCTGACGGTGTAGTAGGTTACAATTTGGGCTGCTAATGGAAGAGTCAACAGTTCGAATCCACCAGCAACTCCACAGGAGAAAGATGAGACTATCTGCTCCTGTGAAGAGTTATAGCCCCAGAACCTTATACAGGGTCGGTATGAGTTGTAACTGACAACTGCAAACAATAACAACAACAAATCAAACAGCACTATCTCTACTATACTGAGAGAACAGGGAAATGAACCCCAAAATGGACAAACTATTGTTGAAGCTAGCTCTTTCGTTACTGTCAAGTACTGTTGAGTCAGTTCCAACTCACAGCGACACTGTATAGGGTTTTCAAGGAGCGACTGCACTAGTATTTCCCAAATCACATTGACATGCCACTTCAATATTCTCCCTAAATTTAATTTTAGTGAATACGACTGATTACACAATAGCTTTTTTTAATGGAACAAAAGGGATTATTCTCCTGATGAATACAGTACTGTCAGACATGTAAGTTCTAATGGACTGCCACAATGTAGGCCGATAATATCATACTAAACTTATAAATATACAGTTTAATATTTACTGCATAAGTCCCAAATAGAAAAAACTCACATGTGGTTCCTACCACTGCTTTCTCACTACCTTCCAAAAGGTCCCAAAAGTACAAGGATGATTGCTCCATCTGGTCTTCAACACTGACAAGGAAAACCAGCAGCAGGACAAAGTGGCTTTAGAAGTACATATATGTGTTTATCTATATATATCTATATACAGAAGTACAAATGGAACAGTACAACTTACGCATTGTAAGCTACTGACACAGTCAAGATATTCAAATGTTGTATATTAATTCTTTGGAAATAAAAATGGAAACTTTATAAAAGGTTACTAGTTTCCCACTTACGGATTTAAAATGTAAGCATTTTTTCTTAAAACAACTAAAATAAAGACCAAATACAGCTATTGAAGAATAGACCAAGAAGAATCTGCCAATGCAATTATTTGTTAACAAGAATATGTCCTAGGTGGAAGCACACACTTATGGAAATCCTAAGAGCTGCGTCCAACTTTAGACAGGGCATAAAGTAAGATATATTCCCTGTACCCACCAAAGTGCAGTACCAGTGAAGTAATAATGACAGAGAAGACCATCAACATAGGACTAAAAAGACATATGCTATACATGGGTAACCACAAGTTTCGTTAGCTTTTTTCCTGACACAAAGTTGATTTCTAATAAAAGCTACATTCTGACTCTGTTCAGCACGGCTTACTTAGACACAAAAGGTGGAACACCCTGTATCTGACAAAACAAAAACATAAAGATCTGTTAACTAACTGATTTATCAAAGCAAACACTGCAAATGGATTAACAAAGGGAATTTATTCAAGAGCCCAAATTTGATGGCTTTACACTCTGAAAAATTAATTTGTCAGTCTTTATAACACAATAGGAACGAATTCTTCTCATATTGAAAGTTTAATGTTTTAACTTTAAACAAGTTAAATACATACTTATGTCTACTTAAGTACAACAGGAGTAAGACAGTAAGAACAGGTTAATATCAACATCCTTAGATGCTTTCCCAAAAAGAATTTTGGAAATATATATAATTAATATTATGTTTATTTGTATGGTGATAAAACCTGTAATCAGACATTATTTTGAGAGCCAGTGTTAAACTAAAGCAGCACATAAATGAGACCATTCAAAATTACTTTCCTTCAACATAGCTCAACCACCCTGTCTGAATCTAGGGTGACCAAGGATCCATTCCCATGTTGAATCAAACTAATCTTTTCTAAGTCAATTACAAATATGTAATCAAAAAGAAAGACTAAAGTTATGTGTTCTACTTCAGTTGCTTTGGTTTGTTTTTCATTAGCTTACCTCATGCTTTCATTTCTATCAGGGCAGGTCAGTTTTGAGAATTTAATGAGGTAGTCAAGTTCTTGTGAAGGCAAGTACAGTGCACCATGCAAGCCCTCTTTGAAGTCTTTCTGTACATGTTCCTGTATCAAGTTCTGCAATATATACTGTACTTGAAGTACAGTTTGAAGCTTTTTCTTCTCAGCATCAAGTTTTAGCATGTGCTCCCTTCTCTGAGCCTTCTTCTGAGCTTTAAGCAGCTGTTAAAACAAATACCAATTAGAGTCAACAATTCTCTCCATTTCCCCATATTAGTAATTCCATAGTCCTGGTATGGCACTTTAGGATAAACAGTGGATCATAAGGTCAGTTTAAATTGTAAGGTCATCAGTTCAAACTGACCAGCCACTCCTCAGAAACTCTATACAGGGTCACTGTGAGTGGGAACAGACTTGACAGCACTTAACAATACCAACAGCTTCACATTAGTAGTTCAAACCCCCATTCACTATCAGAAACCCTATACAGGATCTTTATGAGTCACAGAACTAACTCAACAGCAGACAACCTCAAATAGGAGATCTGGTGTGGCACTGTAGGATAAGCACTGGACTCCTAAGTTTAAGGTTAGTGGTTCAAACTCACTAGCCACTCCCTGGGAACCCTACATAAGGTCTCTACAAGTTGGAATTGATTCAACAACACAGAACAACAACAACCTCAAATAAATCAGATGAGATAATAAATCCCAGGCCTAGAGCACTGAGTTGCATTATTGAAAGGTTTAACCTCTGCCCCCTTTTACAGCTACAGATTAGCAATGAGTAATAAACTGGCTTATCTAAGGTAACCAGAGCCATTGTTGTTGTTAAGTGCCATCGCATCAGTTTCAACCCACAGCCACCTTGTATAGGGTTTCTGAAGAGTGGGAGCCCAAATATTTGACTCCCAACTCCTGGTTATTTATAGTACCTCTAATATCTAGCGTAGCTCTGGTAGTGTAGTGGTTACGAATTGGGCTGTGAACCACAAGGTCAGCAGTTCGAAACTACCAGCTGCTCCATGGGAGAAAGATGAGGCTTTCTACTCCCGTAAAGATTTACACCCTCGGAAACCCTGTATAGGGTCGCTATGGGTCGGAACTGACTCGAC